AAGCAAGTCCAAAATCAAGAGGCCGAGTTTGCAAACTCGGCAAGTCGATTTTGAGGCTTCTTATGATGATCGTACATGACGAAAGTGCTGTAAATACCGAGTAAAACGGATGTGCTCTTAAGATGGTTTTGAGCAAGTGTAGTTGGTAGGGGGGGGGGCGCCTACTACTACTACTACTACTACTACTACTACTACTACTACTGGCAAGTCAAGAACCAACCGCTTGTCCGGCCAAGGCAAGGCAAGGACAAGGACAAGGACTACACCGACCAGGAAGACTCGCCAGCCCCTTAGCCTTCCATGTTTCGCATGCTGCTGATGGTGACGCTATTTGGACGCGAATGGTGAAGTTGATGAAGATGTGCTGAGGGGGATGATAGCAATAGGGGAGCACGGTGGTGATGATGCTGTTGATGTTCTTGAGGGTCATCGATGGTTCCGGTATGTTGAGGCGGTGATTACGGGAATCTGTCTACTTGTGATATGACGAGAAAGAGGAAGAGATGGAGAGTACCGACAACAATGTCCACGGCGATTGTTACGTTATGACGGTAATTCGTGGTGACGGTTGTTGTGGCGATGTTGATGGACAGACATGAAGCTGAACATAAAGATAATGTGCACGTAGTCGGTGGTGCTTGAGATCAGCTGCAACAACCTATGGGTTGGACTCCCAACAGCGGTTAGCCGTGCAACAGTAGCGAAGCAATGCCACCACCAACAATTGTAATGACTCACGACAGTATGTATAATCAAATAGAATAGAAGTATGGCAAGAAGCATAGCACTGCCAACAATGCTCCGCCTTCATGGGCGACGACGACGACAACGAGGCCGACGACGAGGAAGAGCTGCTCCTGTTCCTGCTACTGCTACCCCTACTATCTCCTACTATTTCTCTCCGACTCCGCCGACTACTACTACTACTACTACTACTACTACTCCTACTACTACTACTACTACTGCTTCTACTACCACTATTACTACTACTACCACCTACTACTACTACTACTACTACTACTACCACTACCACTACTGCTACTACTACTACTGCTACTACTACTGCTACTACTACTACTACTACTACTACTAGTACTACCGATTTTATGC